TCATTGAGAGATCAGGGAATGACTTGCTAGGTGGACAAACCATGGTGACCGCAGGAAGACCCCAGCTCAACACATCAGTCCACTTCCTCAAGTTTACCCGCACTATGGCTCGGTGGACAAACCATGGTGATCGCAGGAAGACCACAGTTCACCACATCTCTCCAGTTCACTAAGTTTATCCGCACTATGGCCTCACATGCTTAGACCAGAACTGCAATAGGTCACTGATGTTACGTGGTATGAACTTACAAAGTACACGCGAAATTGGTGTAAGGGAAGAGGTGCACATTTAACGGTGCAAGAATAAACAGTTTTCCAGCTATTGCCGGACTTGTCAAGGAGGATACCCTCCATGACAACTTGTCATGGAGGATACCCATGTGGGATACCTACCCTCCCCACCAGTGGGAGGGTCAACGACCGTCCCATATATGGCAAGTCGCACCGCCACTCTGGCTAGTGACTAGTTGATCACCTGCTCCCCCACTTCGTCACAACCACGTGACCCAGCCACGTGGCGTTCAACGAATCGTAGCAGCTGAGATGCCGCGGTTCCCCCATTTTTCGGACCCCAAGCACTCCACCTAACGCGCAGCCATGTGGCCGAGTTCCACCCTCTCTCTCTCTCTCTCCTCTCTCTCTCTCTCTATCTCTCTCTCTCTCTCTCTCTCTTCTCTCTCCTCTCTCTCTCTCTCTCTCTCTCTCTCTCTCTCTCTCTCCTCTCTCTCTATCTCTCTCTCTCTCTCTCTCTCTCTCTCTCTCTCTCTCTCTCTCTCTCTCTCTCTCTCTCTCTCTTCTCTCTCTCTCCTCTCCTCTCTCTCTCTCTCTCTCTCTTCTCTCTCTCTCTCTCTCTCTCTCTCTCTCTCTCTCTCTCTCTCTCTCTCTCTCTCTCTCTCCTCTCTCTCTCTCTCTCTCTCTCTCTCTCTCTCTCTCTCTCTCTCTCTCTCTCCTCTCTCTCTCTCTCTCTCTCTCTCTCTCTCTCTCTCTCTCTCTCTCTCTCTCTCTCTCTCTCTCTCCTCTCTCTCTCTCTCTCTCTCTCTCTCTCTCTCTCTCTCTCTCTCTCTCTCTCTCTCTCTCTCTCTCTCTCTCTCTCTCTCTCTCTCTCTCTCTCTCTCTCTCTCTCTCTCTCTCTCTCTCTCTCTTCTCTCTCTCTCTCTCTCTCTCTCTCTCTCTCTCTCTCTATCTCTCTCTCTCTCTCTCTCTCTCTCTCTCTCTCTCTCTCTCTCTCTCTCTCTATCTCTCTCTCTCTCTCTCTCCCTCTCTCTCTCTCTCTCTCTCTCTAAGGCACGCTCTATATGAGGGCAGAAGCCGTTCGGACTTTGTCGTGACATACGATGGCACGCAGTCAAGACCAACACAGGACTCGCTGACCCGCGAGGCTCCCTGTCACTCCACCAGAAAGGCTTGTGGTCAATGGCTCAAGCTCTCGCTCCTGAGTAGTTCACACCACGCATGTAAATATCAAAGGTTTGTGATTCCGTGCTACCAGCTGTGCATGCACCTATGCCCTTTAAACGTGGATAATGATCTCCCATTGCCGTCAGTTCACTCGACACCAAACTCAGCATGGCGCCACATTCAGTGGTTGCGGTGGCTCCCTGCACATTGACCTAGCCGCCTGGTCCCTGTCTTGGGTTTTGTCATACCTCCCGTCCTGAACTGTGGTATTTCTTGTCTCGCTTCCAGGCACTGGGTCACGATGCGGGCAAAATTTCCAGCCAAAGTTGCAACAGGTCAGCCCAGCCTATAAAACAATCCTGCCGGTTGATGCGATCAGTCGTCCTGGCAGAGCCGCCAATGAAGTCGGGTAAGGCTTGCAGGCCGGCTCCGGTTCATGGCCTTGCTACTTGGTGCAAAAACGTGATTTTTTCGTAACGGCCAACGAGTGGCCTTTTACGTGAACAATGAAGCAATTCTGTGCTAATTGGGAATTCCGCGACACGGCCCCGGTAACATCTGCACTGAGCTTGTGTCATTTTGGGGAATGTACGGTATGTTTCTTCGCAGTAATCTCGGATAGCCACATGTGAAACGTAGCATCGTGTCCATTGACATGTATGCCGGTTGATGATTCACCAAGCGCTGGCATTGATCACTTTGGACTTAAAAGAACAACAGCCAGCTACCGTGCCACGGCCCAAGGGTGGCGCCTGGGTATTGAAACTGCTGCGTAAAAGGTACTCCAGAAGCTATGAATCATTCCTTGTACGCTGTGAAATCAAAACACCAGGCAAGTGAGTCCATAAGTCAAAAGTGCAAACGATCACGCATTGCACATTTTCAAGCACAAGATTCCTCTTAACAAATCTGGTTTTAAACCCCAAACCACAAGCCGCTGATTTCTTCGTCGGTTCCAGAGCAGGATGAAGCCGATGCTGCTGCTGCTCTACGTCGTCGGGCTCGCAGGCGGATCACGACGGCGTCAGCAACCTTCACGTCATCCGGCGACAGCAAGCTGGCCGCACCGTTGACGCAAACATCGAGGCGAGGTTCAGCCCCAGTACGAGTTCCGGCCTCCATAACTTCGGCCCTGGCTCCACCGTGTTCGAGGGTCCGAAGCCAGTGGTGGGAGGTGGTGAGCAGTCGCATTCATTTGGTCCTGTTGGTGGTTATGCACCGTTTGGAGGCTACCAATTTGGAGCCGGCCATAGACCAGGTTTTGTTGGATCAGGACAAATTGGAAGCGGTTTTTTGCCTTTTATAAGCGGTTTCGGCTCAAGTGGAGGCGGCTTCAGACCGGCTGAGGGAAATTTCAGGCCGGTTGGGGGAAGTCTCAAGCCTTTTGGGGGCAGTTTCAGGCCTGTTGGGGGCAGCTTCAAGCCTGTTGGAGGCAGTTTCAGGCCAGTTGGAAGCGTCTTTAGCCCGGCGTCGGTCAGTTCGGCTTCTTGCCGCGTCCGCCATCTGTTAGGAAGCGTGGGCGCGCTGCCCGGAGGACTGTTCGGATTCCATGGTTAACCATCGAGACAGAAAATCATGCCGCGCTAGTTACCTCAGACAAGACGCTACATGACGTAGGCACTTCTCTTAAAGTGCTTCCAGATTCGCAGCGTTGTGGTACAACATTCATCATTGTGGTACAAATGCGCCTGCGTCCGTTTGGCCGTCTGGAATGACAGTGTCATGTGTTCAATAAACGGAGTGGCAAAGGAGCGGGCGGCCTCTGGCCTGGATTTTCAGTAGAACTATTTCTTACGCATCCTATTCATCGTTTAACGCCAAAATTCTTGCGTGGTGTGGTGGCAACCGAAAAGTGGTCGCGCAGTAATGACCGCTGTAGTCGACGTGCCCATAAAACCCATTTACCACACTCACAAATCTTGGTCAATTTTTGCCATTTTAGGACATGTGATTTCATCAATCCCCTTGTGATTGGTTCCTGCTCTGCCGCGTCTGACTACTCCGCTAGTTATCATATGTTTTGTGTTATGGTGGAAGACACGCGTTTATTGAGAGTGCATACCAGCTTAGGCTGTGATGAGTAAGATGATGGTTTGGCATGTCTGTTGCTGGGCTATAGATAAACAATGGTACAATAATACTGTTTTATGTATCAAAATAATGCATCTTTTTGTCACCACAGCCAAAATACTGGCGATATAATTGGCCCTTTTGGTTGTTTAATTGAACTGCAGGAAATTTCTGGACTGTTTGCGTGATAGGTTGTTACTAGTGAAGACCTTGACAGAGACAGAGACCGTGCCTGTGCCAGGTCTTTCTCGCGAGTCCAACGAAAAGAGAGATCTTGTCAAACACAGCTTCTATTTTTTTGTTCACTTGCACGCACCACCACTCGCACCACAAGGTCCACACACACAACCAACAGCGGTCTTGCGTCATCGAGCCCGGACGAGGTGTTAGAGCATGCGCGGCGTTATCAATGGCGCGGCTTGTATACTGTGCGCGTCGGAGGACGAATTCATGGTAGTGGGGTCCAGAAATGTACGTGATAGTTCACCACTGAGAAACGAGTACGGACGTCGTCCGATGGTCGCCTAAACCAATCAAAAAGTAGGGCATTCGCCTTGCGATCCAGTACTGTTTGATGCAACTGGCAGGTGGTGAGACGCTGAAGGCGACTTTTTAAGGAAGCTTCGGATAGCATTTCGGACTCCAGGCATACTTAAGATTCCGATGGAAAAGATGGAATAAGGTGGATGAGCCATTTCCCAGGAGGTTTAGTTGCCTTCTCGTGCTTTTCTCGTCATAGAGTCTTTTAAGCATTCTGGAGAATTAATGCCGTTACACATCTGAAGGTTTACATAATTCTGGAGATATTTACTGCCGGTAAATATAATTTGTTACAGAACAGAAATCTTATACAGCTCTCTAGGACCTGAAAATTAGCCATTTTCTGATGTTGTTGTTTTGAAAGCCCCAAAAATCCGCTGTGCCGCCAGCAGCGCTATCCGCTAAAAGCCCTGCGGAATATTCGGCGAGCCCCTGGCCTCAAAAGTGGTAAATTTCGTCGGAAAAAACGGCCACCAGCCCTGAAGAACAACCGCACTCACCAGCCGTTCGCCACGTGTCTATCGGCGCAACTGGGCTCGGAGTATCGCATCAGTGTGACGAGACACGCGCGTGTAAACACCCCCCGGCGCGTTTCAGCCTTCCGCGTCTGCGGTTTCGGCCGCGGCGCTATCAGATACGGAAGCGGTACCGACGCTGGGAAAGCGACAGCCGGCTTCTGTAGTTCTGTCAAAACCGGGCGCTCGGGAGAGTTGACATCACTGCCGCCTGAACGTGCTGATGGCGATGGCGACGTTGACGCACTGTCTGTGGGGGGGTTTGCCTGCTGTCGCCTTGCGGCGGCGGCGGCGGCGGGGTCAGGCGCCGACGCGCAGCCGTGTTCGCCCCTGCAGTTCGAAGGTGATAGCGTCGTGTGCGTGTGCAACGCCACCTACTGTGACCCCGTTTCCGAGCCTGACCCCCGCGATGGCGCCAACGCCACGGTGGTGACCTCCTCGCGCGCCGGCGACCGCTGTCGTCGTCTCCTCTGCCAGTGGAAGCGATGGCCCACCCCAGCCGGCCGCGGCTCACACTGAATCTGGGCCAGGGGGACTTGCGCCAGCGCCTGCTTGGCTTTGGCGGCGCCTTCACGGACGCGGCGGCGGGCGTCAACATCAACAGCCTGCCGGAGGACGTGCAGGCGCAGCTGCTGCACTCTACTTCGCGCCGATGGCCTGCGCTACGATAGGTCGCTCCCGATCGGAGGTTGTGACTTTTCCACCCGTCCGTACACCTATGACGACGTCCGGTGATGACAAGCTAGAGAACTTCGCGCTGACCGAGGAGGACACCCTCCTGAAGATCCCGCACATTCTGACCGCTCACAATATGTCGGGCGGCAGCTTGAGGCTGTTCGGATCGGCCTGGTCGGCGCCCCGCGTGGATGAAGACCAACAACAACCTTACCGGTCTTGGCTCGCTGAAGCCCGAGTACTTCCAACTGTGGGCTGACTACCACATGCGCTTCATGAAGGCATACAAGGAGGCCGGCGTCTTCGTGGGCGCACTGACCACGCAGAACGAGCCCACAAACGGAGTGGTCTCACCCGGGCGCGTGGAATACCATGGGCTGGACGGCGGACACCCAGCTGACCTGGAGTGCGCGATAACCTGGGGCCGACCCCTGCGCGCCTCCGCCGACGTTCAACGAGACGATGGTGATGACTCCTGGACGACCAGCGGAGCCTGCTGCCCGACTGGGCCGACACGGTGTTGGCTGACGAGGCGGGCGGCGGGCGTTCGTGGCCGGCATCGCCGTGCAATGGTACCAGCGACCTGGACACGCCGGCCAGCGTTCTCACCGACACGCACAACAACCACCCGGACAAGTTCCTGCTGGCCACCGAGGCGTGCGAGGGCTCTTACTCGGCCGGACAAGTGGTGCTCGGCAGCTGGGAGCGTGCGGAGTCGCGCCGCCGTCGACATCATCGATGACCTCAACAACTGGGTCACGCGGTGTGGGCGACTGGAACCATCGCGCTGGATCGGATTGGGCGTTCCCAACTGGGTCGGAAAACTTCGTCGCCTCGCCGATCATCGTGGACGCCGTAGAAGGAGCGATTCTTCAAAGCAGCCCATGTTCTACGTGCTGGGGTCACTTCTCATCAGCGCTCATGCCGCCGGGCACCGTTATGACCACCTTCGGCGAGGGTCCGCAGGGACGTGTCGCCGCCGCTGACGTGAAGAACCACGATCGGCTTTCACACCCGACGGCCAGACGGTGCTGACGATGCTGAACAAGGCCGACAGCGGCCGTGGACGTGACGGTGGCGCAGCCGAACCGCGGCACGCTGACGTCCACCTGCCCCGAAGAGGAGCATCACATCGGTTCTGTTCGCCACCGATTACTGACGGAGCTCAACTCGTCTAAGGTGGAGCTGTGAGAAGGGCTCCGCGAACGTTTACGGAACCGGGGCGGGATTTCGCGCAGGCCGGTACAGGCCTTTGTTAGGAACTTCAGCTTCACGGTCTGGTGATGGCGGTATTTTGACGTTGCAGGCCATCGTGGGTCCTTCTACTTCAAATCGAGGTGTGCTTCAGTGTTGCAGAGGCGCAATGCTATAAATAAGTAGGGTAATACTAACGATGTAAGTATGACAGTGATTTATACACCCTTCAGGGAATGTAAGCAGAAGGTTGCTTGGAACGTTATAGCCACTGTGAGATTTACGAGCGTAGTCGCTTACTGAGGGCATTTCAAGCTTTTTATGCTACAAAACATGCTATGGGTTTGGATGTGAACTGAAGTTACCAAACTAAATACATCAACGGGACAATCATTTTCGCCATGACCATGACAGTGTTTGTTCACGAGTAGTTATCGTGTTTGATTATTCGCATACTGACCACTGAAAACTGGGGATAACGTCCCCGGCGGATGGATGGATAGTCACGGCCGGGGGTTTTGAAAAGGTTTATCTAAAACCGGCGGTTCTATGGCGTAGAAAGAGACGACTACCCAAAGCTAGCACCTTATAACCTGTTTCTAGCCAGATAACACAGTGTCCATAGACCTATTCCTCGTAGAATACGAGGAGTAGGGTTGTTAGTACTGTCTTATCTATACGCATAGTATTCTTCGTAAATGCGCGTAAAAGGGAGTGTTTCGCATTTCTATGGAAGTTTTGAAGTGAAAAGGCGTCTTGAAGATAATTCGGTGCGGTTCACAGCCCTGCGTTTCCGAAGAACTAAATCCCCCAAGTTCCCGAGCTTCACGCACGGAAAGATGGGATACTTTTTCGGAGGGAGTACTTCAGGTTCACCTTGGCATTCATGACGTCATAATAACGTTATTTAAATGTTGTCATCCCAAAAGTTATACGGCGATCAAGGCCAAGAAAAATAGTATGGAAGAGTCATTCATACCTGGTGTTCGTGAGCAACATTTCCAGATATAACGGCCGTCAATTGGCTCTCAATCAGTGTTGTGGCAAGGTACGATGATGCAATCAAGCAAGTGACGTATCAGGGAACCTATTTACTAAACAAAAGGACTGTGTTATCTATAGCAGTATTTTCTTCTTGAGAAATATGTCACACAGTTACAAGTGACCTTGTTTCATCATATCTCATGCTTGCTTTCAATATAATGGGTAACATAATGTGTAATAATCAGATAAATACATATCTTAATGTGAAAGCGTTACTTTAACAACTTAGGCATTGTTCGAGTCAGGATGATATCTAGTAGAGAATCATGGGGTCTCGAAATTCACCTACTGGCGATGCTTCATTTACCAATAATTCATGGAATTGCCACCACACTTGTGATGAACTGAGACCAACGCAAGACTTTATTACGAATACATTTTTGACTGATTTCGTTGTGGAAGCCTTGCTTATAGAAGCTTCTCATCAGAGCGATCTGGCTAGCAAGCAATATACATGAACCAAGATTCAGGATGAAAAAATAGTACGCATGAAATTGCACGTCCTCTTCATCAAACCTCTTCTGGGCAAAAACCGCACACACTCACTTTCCCGAGAGTTAAATTTTGTTCGTACTCTGTCGACCATTGGTATAGCTGTGACTCTCTAATCTGGAAAATGTTGGAGGTAGAAACTATTGCACAGCTGAGACAGCAAGTGCTTAGCTTGTGATAACCTGGTCGATTGTGATGGCAGTAATTTCTGTTTCTTAATCCATAGTGTTCACTCAAGTGACGTAGAACATGGTCAACCCGTTGATTTTAGCCGTTCCACGTCAACTCGATAAAAGGCAATGTTGGCCTCCACTCTGTTCGTTCTTTACGCAGCTTTTTTGGGGTGGAAAAAATTTCTCAAGTGTTCAGTGCATTGGCGAGGAACGCTAGTAGCATGGTAGGGTCAGTAGTATTAGCCTATTCCTCGGAAAAAAACAGGAGAGTAGATGTAGTTGGGTTGCTATTTCGGCAGCATGCCTTTTCTCAAACAATAGCAGAAGTGATAAAATTGAATTTGAAACTTGAAGAAATCAGAAATTGAATTCATTTACCCTCTGCTATTGCTTCTAGAAAGGCGTATGCTGAAACATCAACCTAACTATATTTCTATTTTCCTGTTTTTTTCCGACGAATAAATACTCCTGCTTTTTTTCAATGGATGAAATTCCCTATCAAAGAGAGGCGTACACCAATGTTTTACTCAGACGACCTCGCCAGTCGACGGCGGGGATCTCTTCAATATTCACAGTTTTTCATTAGCGTGTCGACTACAGGCGGCCAGTAGAGGGACGCACCAGATGGAGGAACGGCAGCAGCCGCAGTCTACAGCAGGATGACCAGCAACAGCAGCACCATCGCCGTCATTGGCATGTTCAGGTGGCAGAGAGCTCGGCTCTCTGTCGAGGCCTCGTCACGAGCGGCGCGGCCGGCCGTCGCTAGGTTGTCTCTAGGTTGTCTCGTCGCTAGGTTGTCTCTAGGTTGTCTCTAGGTCGTCGCTAGGTTGTCTCTAGGTTGTCTCTAGGTGTCTCTAGGTTGTCTCTAGGTTGTCTCTAGGTTGTCTCTAGGTTGTCTCTAGGATGTCTCGTCGCTAGGTTGTCTCTAGGTTGTCTCTAGGTTGTCTCTAGGTTGTCTCTAGGTTGTCTCGTCGTTAGGTTGTCTCTACTCGATGTCTGTCGGGTCGATAATAGGCAATCAGCAGAGGCAGAACCTTTAACGCAGGGTGTGTTTGGCACATGTTCACCTCCGAAGGCTGCTGATAATATGCTGGCATGTGTGCGTCGCGGGCAGCTGTTGACGTTGTTGCCGGTCCTGGCCGGTTGGTCAGTGTTCTCAGCCACTAATTCATCTTATCAGTTTGTGTCATGTGTATGTGTGTGTGTGTGTGGACAGCTGTTGGTGCTGTTGTTATTCCTCGCCGGTTGTCGGAGTTCTCAGCTACTTAGATGTTTTCCGTCGTCGGCTGTTTTTTTATGACAATGATAAGCTCGACTGCTAGCTACAGAGCCATGCGACGTAGATTGTGCGCGCTCGTTATGACTGGAACTGGCACATTTTTACGTGCGGCATTTTTTGCGAATGAGCAATGCAAAAGTGTTCCACATGAACTGGAAGGCTGTCTGGTGATAATGACTCCTCACATGCGTCGACTTTCAAGCGTCTGATTTGGGCAAATGCCCAAAGTACCATCGAGGGAACTCTCCCGGTTGCATTCTTCACTTAGATTGGATTACCATTATCGTGACCTGAGCTCAGCCGTGCTGCGGTGTATTGGTGCAGTGACGATGGGTCCCAGCTCCAGCAGTGGATCAAGCATGTTGTTTACCACATTTCTTTCCGTGCAGCGCTATGGTTCAAAGGCGCCTTTTCCAGACTTTAAGGACATTGCCACCTCTGCTCCATCACCGCTCCTGCCCCTCTTGTATCGGTGTTTCAGCGCCGTTGCACGGACACGGGATAGCATGCTACAACTGTAATACAAATTTGGCGACAATTCTGCCGCGTTATTGCGTCAGTTCGCAGTCATGTAATCATAGCTGCTTTCTTGATAGCCACATGCTTTCGGAAAGAAATTATACTGGCTGGATGATATTATGTTGTATCCGGTTCAGTGTCTGAAGTCAGCTTAGTTCCCAAAAGCCAATATGAGTCTACGGGCGCGGACGAGCGCACCCGGTGCTCCTTTGCAGGGCAGACACTACCAATGTCGTTCAGGAGAAGAGCCGTTGTGCAGTGCTATTGCGTTTGTCAATTTCTCGTGCTATGTCCG